AGTCTCCTGCCTCAGCCTCCCAAGTAGCTGGGACCACAGGGGCCCACCACAGCGCCTGGCTATTTTTTGGTTGCAACCATTATTGTTGTTTTGACGGGCCCAGGCTGGATTTGAACCTGCCACCTTAGGTGTATGTGGCTAGTGCCTTAGCCACTTGAGCCACAGGCTCCGAGCCAAGGATGCTGAATTTTATCAAATGCTTTTTCTGCATCTATTGACAGGATCATATGGTCTTTATTTTTGCTTCTGTTGATATGGTGAATTATGTTTGTGGACTTGTGTATCTTAATCCAACCTTTCATCCCTGGGATGAAACCTACTTGATCATGATGAATGATTTTTTTTAATTTGTAGCTGTAATCTGTTGGCTAGGATTTTATTGAGAATTTTTACATCCATATTCATTAGTGAAATTGGTCTGAAGTTTTCCTTTTTAGTTGGATCTTTTCCTGGTTTTGGTATCAGGGTGATGTTTGCTTCTTAAAACATGTTGGGGAAGATTCCTTCCTTCTTAATTTTTTGGAATAATTTCTGCAGTATGGGTATAAGCTCCTATTTGAAGCCATTTGAACTAGGGCATTCTTTTTGTTGGGAGATTTTTATTGGTTCTTCAATCTCTGTTCTTGAAATTGGTCTGTTCAAGAGATCTATTTCTTCTTGGTTAAGTCTAGGGAAAGTATGTGATTCCAGGTATTGATCCATTTCTCCACATTGTCAAATTTCTGGGCAGAGAGTTTCTTGTAGTACTCAGAGATGATCTCTTGTATATCTGAGGCATCTATTATTATTTCCCCTTTATCATTTCTGATTGAGGTTATTAGAAATTTTACTTTTCTGTTTCTAGTTAATCTGGTCAAAGGTTTATTGATTTTATTTTTTTCTTTGAAAAACCAACTTTTTCTTTTGTTAATTTTCTGAATGATTTTTTTATTCTCAGTTTCATTAATCTCTGATTTAATTTTGGTTATTACATTTCTTCTACTGGGTTTAGGATAAGATTGTTCTTCTTTTTCCATTTCCATAAGATGGTTCATGAGTTTGTTGATGTGCTTTTTTTCTCTTTTTTGAAGATACAAAGAAGGCTCAGCACCAGTAGCTCAGTGGCTAGGACGCCGGCCACATAAACTGGGGCCAGTAGGTTCAAACCCGGCCCATGCTTGCCAAAAAATGGCAAGTGCAGCAAAAAAATAGCTGGGTGTTGTGGCAGGTGCCTGTAAACCCACCTACTTGGGAGGCTGAGACAAGAGAATCACTTAAGCCCAAGAGTTTGAGGTTGCTGTGAGCTGTGATGCCATGGCACTCTACCAAGGGTGACATAGTGA